TCAAATGGTGTCTCCGAAGTCGCCGGTGCTTCTGCCACTACAATAATTGATGAAGACTTAGGTATGCGGTAGAAAAATGCTCCAGTTTTTATCTTACAGCTCCTTACAAGCATTTTCAGTAAATCGAAACTTTAAAAATTTTTTACACATTCTCAACTTTGAAAATCAGAAAAGTTCAAATTTTTTTTCACTTGTTCCTTGCATGGAAAATTGACTGCTAACAACAAGTCTGCTTCATCAGCCGCAGTTATTTATTGTTCATTGATGTTGTAATATTAATTGTATTTCACCAGATTTCAGATCCCACATGTTCGGACACACATCAGGATGTAATTGGGGGTGCCGAGAGGGCGTATTCGTCGTATCCGGGTTGGACTGGTGGTAATATGAGAGATATGATGACGCGTGATCAAATGATGAATCTTCTCGATTTTGGCAAACAAATAGTTGCTTTATCTCAAGGGATGAATGATATTCCAGAAAAGCTGGTTTCTCGGATGAACGTATGTCAACCGTATTAATTTAATAACATTGTCGTTAAGTGTCTGTGAAGCTGGCTCGTTTGGAAATGGGTATGGTAACCGCTATCTCTTCAAAACAGTTCTTTGACCTGATTTACCAAAAAAATTGATTGTTGATCAAGAAGCTTTGTTCAAGAGGAGCAGTCATATAAGAAAGTAAAATCCATTGAGCAGAAATTTTCGCAGATTTAACTAATAAAAATAAAAGATGTGACAAAGAAAAAAAAAGGTTACAAAGAATATAAATAACTGCTTGGGTCATCTTTAAAAAGTTGACTCATGCACAGGCGACAGGTACTAAATCAAGATGTGGTCAGAAGTCCTTGTTTAATTGCGCGGACCTTTTGAAAGCGTCGCAGTGATATAGTTACGTGGGGCCTTCCATACCGGTTGACTGGGAAAGTTATGGAGAAACAACTGAGAAACAATTTGTGGAGAAACAATTTTTTTTTCAGAAGCAGGTTTTTTTTGGAAACAGTTATTTAGAAACAGTTTAATGGGGAATTTAGAAAGTCATTACTATGATCTCAACATACTAGCCTCCCAAACTATAGCCCAGATTTCTTCGGTTTTTGTACTGGAAATCATCTACGCATGTGAAAAATCTCAGTGCTTTGATCTTGGCTATTTTTTTTTTGTCTAGAAAGTTACTCTTCAGGCGCAGAATCTGCTTATATCATCCAGACGCGCGGTATTCCTTGCCCTATCGAATTTTACTTTTTTTTAGAAAAAAACCACAGTTACACTGCACCATATTTATTTGGCAGTTCAGGAGACAGCAGCGCCTGGCATATGCGATATCCTGGCAGCGCCGTTGTCTAAAACGGATGGTCTTAGCAAAATTAGTGCACGTGATGCTTAGTACAGCCAAATAGTTTGAAGCGTTTTCTTGATTTTCATTGACGCCCAATGAATAATTTCTCTATTCTTGTAGTAGCAAAATTCGCATAAGTTCTTACACATCTTCTAGTTTTGCAGGATACTCTCGCGTTAATATGTCACACGAAACCTCTAAATACATCACTTCGGTATTTGCTCGACTACTCATTACGTGTACAAGCTGCTAACGGATTGAACTGCGCCTTGCGAGGTTTGTCTTTTGCAGTGCATACCAGGGACAAAAGTCCGTAGAAAAACTGCATCTCTGGGCTATCCTTTAATTTTGTGTGTAAGTGGAGACCTTTGGCGAGCATAGCGCAGCGGAGAGTATGGCTTCTCTCATGCCCCAAGTCGAAGGTTCTTTTTCGCCAATGGCACCGACAGTCCCTTTACGATTCGTCCATTTAATTAGTAGTGATGCATATCCGGGGTCAGACCCGCCATCAGCTTGCTTCTAAACAACTCTTGAAAAAGAGAGCCATTGCTCTTGGCACTTGATATCATTGGGTTATTTTCATTGCCCTTTATAGGAAGTGCATACGAAGAGGGCTTTCACTTTTGACAAATGGCGATCAGATATGTAAGATTGTCAAATCTGATCATATCGATTTTAGTGAAGTTTAGCTTAGTATCTTAACCATTTAGATGTACTTGAGCATGGAGGAAGATGCGGTTTTCACTCGCTGTTTTTACAATCCTGATTTTGTTACTATTTTTGATGCCATCTTTACGTTCAGTGAACATCTTTTTACATGCTTTTGCATATAACTAGATTTTTTCGAAACAAATCTACTGGAAAATTAAGCCTCACTTTACAAAAAAAAAAGTTTATTTTGATTGCGCAAGGTTGAAGAGGCTTGGCGAATCGCAGTGAATGTTTATTCATTTTTGTTTTGTCGGTGAACCGGCGATTGATGCTTTTTTGTGTGACTCTGAAAATTATCCAACTAGGGATTGTCTTTAGTTTCTTCCTCTCTATTCCACGATTGATGATACATTCATTATATTCTCTTTCCAGAACATATGGGTTTTGCATCAGAACCGTTGCTTTCATCACACGTGCGTTGGGCCAGCAAACTTCGGCGCGAGCTCGGCGAGAAGCGGAACGCTGCAGCTGCGTTTGCTGATATCCATACGTTGGTTACTCAGAATGTGCTGGATGCATGAACAATTTTTTTTTTCTTTTTTCACCGCTTTTTCACAATTTTTATAGAATTTTCTGTGAATTTTGCACCGCATTTTGTTCGCATATTCACAGAAACACACTGATAGCTAGGCCGATCTAATCTTTTACTCATCCACTTTAGGCTTTTGTGATATTCGATTTCTGAAATTGAGGATTTTCAATTTGCTGGAATCTGTTAGAAATACGGAATTATTGAATATCATTGACAATCACGTGTTATTTTCTGCCTCCTTCACTAATTCATTAATCTAGCACAATACATATGCTGCTAGTATTGCATTTTTTTAGAAACCCGGTATAAAGTGAAATCTCTGGAAGTCCAGAGATTGCTTGGGGTTTTAACATATTTTCTGATGGCAGTTTTACTGTTTGGGGATTTTTGATGCATTTGGTTTCTAAGTCTTTTTACATATAGTTAAGCAGTTTCGTCTCTTATGGTATGAAAAGTCATGGTATTGTCATCTCTTCGGCACCAGTGACTTCTTTTTACAATTTTGCATGGATGGCGAGTACAAAATTTTTTTCGATAATCAGTCTCCCTTATAGTGAACGTACTGAGTACAGTAGAAGCGGAGGTTTGGGATGGAGAAAAGTTGATGGCAACATGGCTCATACTGAGCCATCTGCAAACGAGGAGGATGCAATGGCAGTGCTGCTGAATGGATTTTTTGATCTTGAACTGGATTAGGATGTGATAAAGAAACGCAGCTCATTATATGTATCATGCATTCTCTCTGCCTTTATTCCGCGATCCGGCCTCGTTGCACTGCTTCTCATTTAAGATTTTAACCCATCCATTTCCTTCAAAAAGGTTTTAAAAAATGCAGTCGAAATAGTCCTCTTTCTTACCCATCCTCCGTGAAAGGCACCGAGCTTAAAGAGCAGCCTGAAAAGTAGCAAATGCGAAGGCAGCC